ATGTTGGAAAATTCTAGCGTTGTACAACAGAGAATTTTGGAAAATTCTAACGAGTTGAAACAGAAAATGCTAAAAAAATTGCAACAGAAAATGGTGGAAAATTCTAAAAATTTAAAAAAATATTTGGAACAGAAGATTCTAGATAATGTAAATGAATTAGAAGAGAAAGTAGGATAGAAATTGGAGGACGTAAGGATGGAATTGAATGACGTAAGGATGGAATTAGATGATAAATTGGAAGTCAAAATTAAAGAAATAAATAGTAAACTGACCGTTATGGAACGATTAGCGGTTGAAGCCTTTTTGGATGGACTTCGGGACAACGAAACAAGACAGGCTCTGACGTTGGCTCGTCCGAGCCAACTGGTTGATGCATTGGCCTGAGCTTTGAAATTCGAGGCGGCAAAGCAGAGCTGCAGGAGCCAGCATAGAATTAGGAGAGTCGAGGAAGAAAAAGAGGAGGAACCCAGTATAATCGAAGAAATCAGGCGAGTTCTTAAAGAGAATCTACCAGAAAAGAAGGAAATCCGGTGTTGGAGATGTGGAAAGCTGGACATATACGAAGTCGTTGCAGAAAAAGCCAGGAGGCGCCGACTTTATCTCAGTCGGAAAACTAGATAGGGGTCGAGGAAAAGGGGCCACCGTCGACCTGCAACCAGCATGCCCCAGAGGATATCGAACGTGTCGCATCTCTTTTACACCAATCCAGTAGTGTTTTTGTGGACGGTTTTATTAACGGAAAATTACATATGTACAATTATTAGGCCAGATATTGTCGAAACGTCCAAGATCAAATCTACCAATCGGCGACTACGTACTGTAACAGGAGAAACCGCTACTGTTCGTGGAGAAGTGGACATCACGATGGTCATTGAAACACGAAATTTAAACATCAAGCATTAGTAGCAGATATTGAAGATGAAGTTATTGAAGGCATGGACATTATGAACTGAACTTTAAGTAAGGAATATTGAGGGTAAATGGAGAGGAAGTTGTGTTGCATCGATCTAAAGAAAAAAATATTCGTGTAATGCTAACAGAAGATGCTTTGATACCGGAACACAGCGGGATGATATTGAAGGCTTTCATGGATTGTAAATCAGAAGATGGAAGTATAATGCTTCTGGAGCCGAGAATTGATGACAAAGAAGTCGGTCGAGGAATTGTAGTAGGGAAGACTTTAATACGTGTCGGAAAAGAAGTGCCTGTAAGAGTATTGAATGTTAATGGTTACTCTGTAAACTTGAAGAAAGGAATCGTTTTGGGAAACTGTTCTTCGGTTTCCTCGATTATTAGAGGCATTCGTGAGTCTGCAAGAAAGTTCGCAATGAATTGACTAATCTTCTGTCGACTTCTTCAAAGGATTTGAAACCCAATAAAAGGATAAAGCTGAGAGAGCTGATTCACAATTATCAGGATGTCTTTGACGACGGACAAGGAAAGAAGGGTAGGACAAGAATTGTCCAGCATAAAATTAACACCGGTGATGCACAGCCCATTCGACAGTCGGCAAGAAGGCTACCACTTGCCAAGCGAGAGGAAGCTGATAAAATTGTGCAAGAAATGGCGAAGGAAGGGGTGATCGAACCATCTAACAGCCCATGGTTAGTTAAGAAAAAGGATGGATCAACTAGATTTTGCGACAATTTTCGTCAGCTGAACAACGTGACGAAGAAGGATAGCTACCCTCTACCTAGGATCGATGACACCCTGGACACATTGGCTGGATCGCAGATATTTTCAACTTTGGATTTAAAGAGCGATTATTGGCAAGTTGAAATGCACCAGAAGATAGAGAGAAGACGGCGTTTACCGTGGGTGCAGGACTGTGGCAGTTTACTGTCATGCCGTTTGGACTATGTAATGCCCCTGCAACTTTTGAAAGGCTCATGGAAATGGTTTTGAAGGGACTATCCTGGAAGACATGCTTGGTGTACCTTGACATCATTGTGGTTGGGAAATCATTTGAGGACCATATGAAGAACCTGAAGGAAGTCTTTCAGCGCTTAAGAAGTTCCGGCCCGAAGAAATGTCACTTGTTCCAGAGGGAAGTGCAGTATTTGGGCCATGTTGTTTCGAGTCAAGGAGTGGCAGTGGACAAACAGAAGGTAAAGACATGACTTAAGAAGCTTTCTTGGATTATGCACCTACTACCGTCGGTGAGTACCAGGATTCGCAAAGGTTGCTAAGCCTTTGACACGTTTAACAGATGCAGAAAGACGATTCCAACGAGACGACGAATGTCAGGAAGCCTTTAAGAACCTAAAAACCCGTTGACCAGCTCACCAGTCCTAAGTTATCCTCCTCCGGATGGTGAATTTATTTTGGGCACGGACGCCCGCAATGTGGGCCTGGGAGCTGTTTTGTCGCAGATTCAAGAAGGAAAAGAGAAAGTAAAATCAGTCGAACATTGTGTCAGGGCCGAAGAAAAATATGTGTTTGTTCGCAGGACTACAATCGTGGATGATCATTGGCAATCCGCTGAGGTTTAACAAGACCAGGAAAGGGACCTGGATTTGAAGCTTATCCTCGATTGGAAGAAGAACGACCGTAAACCAACGTGGTAGGAAGTCGCCCAATATTCGCCGAATGTGAAATCGTACTGGGCCCAATGAAATTCCATCATCTTAAGTGACGGGCTTCTAAAGTGCGTTCTGAAGATGCCAGAAGGGGGGGAAGACCGGAAGCAGATAATAATCCCCAGAAACAGGATACCAGAAGTGCTGCAGGAAATCCATGATGGAACTACTGGAGGACATCTTGGGGTGACCAGGATGCTCGAAAGACTTAGGGAACGGTTTTATTGGGTCCACAGCCAACGAGATGTGAAGGAATGGTGCAAGCAATGAACCCCAGAAGCGCCCAAAAGCCCCAATGCGACAGTATAATGTGGGCAGCCCATTTGAGAGAATTGCAATCGATGTGGCGGGTCCATTTCCGGAAACAGAATCTGGAAATAAATACATCATCGTTGTAATGGACTACTTCAGCAAGTGGACGGAAGCGTACGCCTTGCCAAACCAGGAAGCTGCCACAGTAGCCGATGCCCTTATTAAGGAGTGGATTTGTCGTTTTGGTGTGCCAATAGAGATGCATTCAGACCAATCTATATTGTTCCAGAATGTCTGTAAGATTCTTTACATTCGGAAGACGAGGACGACTGCATTACATCCGCAGTCTGATGGAATGGTAGAACGAATGAATCGAACGATAAACCGGTACCTTTCCAAGGTAGTCTCTGATCACCAACGAGACTGGGACCGCTTCCTCCCTCTGTTCCTGTTGGCGTATCGTTCTTCTATCCACGATACAACCGGCCAGACACCCGCTAGCATTGTTATGTTATGTGACCTGAGGTTTGGTTGCCTTCCAGGGTAAGACATTGCTGGAGAAGATTACGTTAGCAATTTACGTAGGAAAATGAGCGACATTCACAGCCGAATTCGTTTAAACATCCAGAGTGCCAGTGATAGAATGAAAGAGGCATATGACATCAAGGCGGAAAATGGAGGATTTCAACCTGGAGACCTAGTTTGGTTATTCACCGAAGCTGCAGACTTACGAAGTCGTGGATCTAATAAATGACATCATCTAGAGTATCATCAGGAAACAACCAAGAGGAAAGCCGAAAGTGATCCATTTCAACCGATTGGATCCTTACGCTGGAAACAATGCTCAAATAGACGATGCTAGAGTAAGGAGGGTTAATCCGCCGGAAGATGAGTTGCCTTTTAAAGACGTCATGTATTTTTATTCGAGCGGTTAAAAAGCTCGGTATGGTGTCACACGAGAAGAACAAAAAGATTTGTTCACGGTTTCGGCCGATTACTCCTTGGCTCAGTGTGTTGCGGAAGACCTTAGGATGTCCAGGGGATAACGGTTGTATTTAAAAACAAGTTTGGACGGTTCGACCATCTACGAAGGCAGAATCCCAAAGTTGGAGAGGTGCTTGAAATTGTGAAGTATCTTCTATCTGGTAACAAAGCAGCTCTCCCATCAGAAGCCAAACTACCGTGACATATGGAATGCCTTAAATAAATTGAGGGATGCCCTTTTATCCAAGGACATCCTGAACCTGGCGATACCGAAGATTGCTTGTGAACTTGACGGTTTAGACTGGAGAATAATAAGTATGGTGAAAGTTATCTTCAGATTTAGTGGCATACACATTCTTGTCTGTTGCCACAACCCTAAAAGAACAACCGGAAGGAAGACCGTAGACTGCTACTTCTATAGGACGTCACAATGCAAGTTTGGATCTCTATGCTAATATCGCCATGGAGCTGAGGACCAATTTCGGGACGAAAATGTTTTAAGACGGGGGCAATCTAGCGAGTACGGCTCTGGATCTCGGAATGATGACTCAACCCCGGTGAGTCATCGCCGGTGAGTAAGCGCTCGAGCGATCTAGAGCTGTGTGGAGCTCGCTGGAATATTCGGGAACGTAGGCACTGAATATATAAGGAACGACGCATCATGGAGAGTCAGTTGAGCTTTGGTACTCGCGACGAAATAAATAAAATATAAGTGCAAATAAATAAGCACTTAAATAGTAGTGATATACATAAATAATTAGTTGTTAAGTGTTTAGTTAGTTTTATAGTTTCTTAGTGTTTTAAGTGTAATTAAGTTATAAAAATTGTAACCTTTTTTGGTTTTTCTAATTAGGCTTCACAAAATGCTAGCGGCAGTCTTACCTTTTTGGAGAGCTTTAGGTCGTAGGTTGACGAAGGAAAGAATTGGTTGTTTATCATCACTTAATATAAATAAAATAATTTGTCAGGCGCCAGAATATTTAATGGTATAAAACATTCAAATTTATATTTACAATAATCAATACTTAACAAGTCAAACGTAAAATAATTCCAGAATGAATGCACTTTAATGATTAAATTTATCTTTAACATTTATACTCAGATAATACTGTACAATTTGGCTTTAGAGTTTAACAACAATGTTTAAAAAGAATAAGAATACTCAGCTTTGTGGCTCTGACAATTTCACTGCTCGTACTGTACTGCAAAACTTGAATCCGGACTCGAGGACACGCCTGGAAACTGGGCTTCTGGACTTGGACTCCTGACTGGATTCCTGACTGGACTCCTGACTATATTAAGGCTCTTAATACCCTGGGAAACGCTTAGCGAAGCGCTGTAGAACTCTAATGGCTTGGACACAGGCACAACACGTCATCTAGTTCGGAATATTATCGAATCCCCCGAAAAAACCCTAGGTTTAAATCAAAAGTAAATACATAACCGCATTCCCACAAATAAAATTCACTTACGGATATTTGTCCGGTTTTTACTTAAACTCAAAAAATATTATTAATCAGACTTGATTAGAATCTTACTGGAACTAAAATCAAATAAAAAGCGACGATCAGATCAAGGATGGTTAAAAAACTCAAAGATAATCTTACCACACAATGGCGTATTGAGAACGATCACTTTGGCAGCAGACAGGTGGTTTATTCAACTCACGTAGTAAAACTTAGTTAACTAGACTATTCAGCCTGTATGTATCAGAATACTTTATTAATTGATAACTTTACAAGTTCCAAGACACTACGCGTGTTTCAGAGAATTCATCACCTAATCGGACTTCGTCCGTTCTTGGCCACTAGCTGTCTGCTACTGCTGAACAACGTAATTTCAAACGCGTCTACCGTTAAAATGCATTATTGCCAATTATGTGAAACAAAAATCCCTAACATTTAATTTACTTAAAATAACTGCAATATTATTTGTCTGATCGCCAACCCTTACTTAACTGTAGCATAAAACCTATAATTCAATAACATTTGCTATAGTATTGTATTAACAAAATTAAACGTAATACGGTTATGTACTTTTGAGATTTAAACCCTTCGCCATCGCGCGTAAAACATTCGCGAAAATTCCAGCACCGAAAACAATGACCTTCTACCACCTTGAGAGGTTTTTTTATGAGTTTGGCATTGAAAACACATACTCCGCAATTTAGTCTTAATAGATCGAAATACGATTTATAAAAACGTTACAAAATAAATCGTTTAGTTTGTTAATAAACCAGTGCGTGTTTTTATTCACACTACGAACAGTTAAAAACGTTACAATAATATTATAATACTATATTCAATTTGAAATACCTATGTTTTTGTCCCTCAATTTCATTTTTATGTTTAATAGTACCTACCTATATTTCTGAGCCAAAAAATAAAAGAGTGTAAATTTCCTCAGAAAAAAATTCCCCTCTACCTACTGTTTCTATTTGAAGAGCAAGCACATAATTTAAAAATTTAAAAGAAAAAATAAGTTGAACATGGTCTAAAATTTAAAATTCTTCAAGTATTTAAAAAATAAGACAATTATTTTTTAAACACAAATTTGGTTTTATTTTATAACCCTTATCATTTATTAAATAGTATTTTTTTTAATTATCTAGGTATTATATTAAAAAGTAAACATTTATGGAAGGTATGTATGTTTTTAATAGGAAAAAAATTAATCAGTAAATATTTTCACCCAAGTTTATTTTATTTTATTATTTTACAATGAAACCAAAAAACAGCAAAGATATATGATATAATTTACATTTTAGTAATTTTATCTTTAAAAAAATGTTATTTTTTAATTATATCTTTGTTATAGGTATGTTTACCTTCTGAACTTATTTTTTTATATATACAGTGTGTCCGTAAAGTCCCGGAACATGTGATTATTTTGAAAACGGTAATTTTTTTTAAAAAACGCTGAAACACGCCAACTTTGATATTTTTCTAGCAATATTTTAGCATATGTAGTTGTTCCAAATTCTGCCGCGTGGCGGCGCCACAATCAAAGTCAGTTTTTTTTAAATTGCAACCCTTTATTTTTGTTGCATTTTTGGATAGCTACCGTTGTCCTGATTACATTGATGTGCCACATCTGGGGGGTTACATAAGAAAATTTTTGAGAAAATCAGGTTTTTGCTGCCGAATGAGATTTTGGTATTTTGTCAAACTTACACAATCTATGCGTTGCTTAATGTTTTTGGAAAGCCAATCAAAGCAGTTGCTCAAAGTGTCCACCGTAAACTATTTGGAAATGGAACAGCCTGTCTACAAACGAGCGTTGTACGTTTGCCAGTACCGCTGGAGTGATCATCTGGATCTCGGCTTGAATGCGGTGTCTTAGGTCGTCCAAATTTTAAGGCCTGTTTACATAGACGCGGTTTTTAGGAGGTCCCCATAAAAAGAAGTCTAAAGGGTTCAAATCGGGCGATCGCGCTGGCCACTCAATTTGACCCCTTTGACCTATCCAGCGATTGGGAAAGACCTGATTTAAATAATCCCTTACTAGCAATGCATAGTGCCCCGTAACAGCGAATAAGTTCGTCAAAACCAAAATCTTAATCAGCGGCAAAAACCTACTTTTCTCAAAAATTTTCTTATGTAACCCTCCACATGTAGCATATCAATGTACTCAGGACGACGGTAGCTATCCGAAAATGCAACAAAAATAAAGGGTTGCTATTTAAAAAAAACTGACTTTGATTGTGGCGCCGCCACGCGGCAGAATTTGGAACAACTACATATGCCAAAATATTGCTAGAAAAATACCAAAGTTGACGTTGTAATGGTTCAGTATTTTAATACGTTTTACAAATTTATTTTTAAATAAGTTTGGAATTTCTAAATTGTGTTGTAAAATGAAAAAATCGTTGCAACAGAGGTAAAAAAACGAACGGTCAGGTAGAGAAATTACAAAGTGTCGTGACCGAAATTTTGCCTGAAATGGGAAAAATCTGTTTACCAGATGAGACGAAAACGACATCGAAACTTGAGAAGGGAAGAAAATAAAGAGGCAGAAAGTTTTCCGAAGTCTTAGAGAACGCATCGTTTTCGTGAATCTTTGCTAAAACCATAATTATTGTAAAATTCTGTGTAAACAATTGTTACGAGTGTGTGTATTCTCCCAGGTTAGTTCATAATTTTAGTAGCCCAATTATGTAGTAAAGTCCACTAAACGTAGAACGATTTTGATTTCAATAAACTGAGCATTAGTTATTTTGCACTACTACGTTTAGTGAATTTTACTCGTTATTAACACCTTTTGTTTTAGCTATTTTTATAGAATGTTTTACCTTTTTAGTTTACTGCTAAATGTAAAAATTTATATTCCTTTCGTTTATTGTCTTAGGCTTAATTTAGTTGTATACTACTCAAATGTTTAGACCCTTCCTCAACACGATTATGCATATTTTTGCGGTAATTTTAAAACAAATATCAGTGTAATACAGGGCGTTTCGTTGCTTAAAGGGGAGTATTGACCGTTAATTTTAAACTTTGAATGCTCCTTTTTCTTAGTACGTAGTTTGCAGTAGATACTAAAATACTCTCCTCCGTGAGGGGTAACTGGTCACCTAGGTTCTCTAGGTGGCATCGCAACTTTTACCCCGAAACTGCATCTTTACGCGAGTTGTTTCCAGTGCGGACCTCGTTCTCCACAGGGCAACGTTAACGTTGACAGACTAGCAGTTAACTGCCCTGTTAAACTAACAAAGTTTTTCCTATTTTTTGAACCCGTAGGGGTAGATAGTGTAACGAGCGTCGTGTCATTCCATTTGATTTGCATAAACTTTTTAAGAAACCATGCCTAATCGTGTAATCCTTTGCTACTTCATAGCCGAACAGGGTTTTTTCTCAAGCTCTTTTTCCCTGGTCGTATCTCCCTAAGAGCCACCCCTTGTGTTTTTTTTTTGTTTGTAAAGTAAATTAAATTGGGGTAAACAAAACACTGTATTTTATTTTTTGTATACCTAAGTCTCCCAAGTATGATTCTTAAAGCAATGTATTTAATAAAACACGTAAGTAAACACAACGTAGAGGTCCAAATTTTGATAAGACGATCACGAGCCATAGTCACAAAAATAGTTCATTTATTAATTTTTCATAAAACTTGTTTTACGAACCTGGTGTAAGGAGAAATCTTTACATTTTTGGTGCCGTCGACCAGGATACATTGCAAAAGGAATCACTTTGTGGAGAATTAGGTTTATTACAGCCCCGGATTGTCTCTAGGTTTTATGTCTAGGGGCTAGGAATTTCCTAAGTCCGGCGCTGTACTTTGTTTATAAAATTCTAATTCATTTGATATTTTTTTCGGTAAAACTTATGAGGGAAAGCCTATGCAACAATTTAAGGAAAACTGACGAGGAAAGCAAAACCAAAACCAAAAGTTAAGGATATTCAAGGAGAAGGGCAAAAGTTGATTGTAAAACAAAAAAAAAACTCCTCAGGGGCCTTTAAAGAATGGAGCTGTACAGGATAAAAAATAAAAACAATGCAGCATCGGAAACCTAGGTTTAACTTGGTGGAAAACAGGAAATGGGTGACCAAATATAAATATAAAAATGAGATAAAATAATTTTTCTTTCAGCGATTAATTTTTTCATTTTGTTTAAAGAATAGGGGCGAAATATACCGAGTGTTGTTTAAGATGTGGCCCAAACTCGGTTACCTGTAAATGGGACATATGTCGGTGCCACACATACACCCGTGATTCGCCAAATTAGTGAGAGGAACCGGTTTCGATGCCATGGTAAACCCCCCTTGCGGGTGCCACAGTGGGTAAAACAAGAAACAGTTGTGTGACTGAAGCTCCTTTGCAGTCAATTATTTGGAAGAACTAGTGGTTTCTTTCATAAAGCCAGCTGCTTACTCTTGTTGTCTGTTGTCCAGCAACTTGGTTCTACTGTAGCTAAAACTTCTTTTGAAGCTAGCTACAAAACATCGCAGGGCGCAGCTGAATCACTGATAGTGGCAGCTGAATAAAGTAGTAAGGGCGCAGCTGAATTACTTATAGTGGCAGCTGAATAAAGTAGTAAGGGCGCAGCTGAATTACTTATAGTGGCAGCTAAGTAAAGTACTAGGGGCGCAGCTGAATCACTGATAGTGGCCGCTGAATAAAATAGTAAGGGCGCAGCTGAATTACTTATAGTGGCAGCTGAATAAAGTAGTAAGGGCGCAGCTGAATCACTTATAGTGGCAGCTAAGTAAAGTACTAGGGGCGCAGCTGAATCACTGATAGTGGCAGCTGAATAAAGTAGTAAGGGCGCAGCTGAATTACTTATAGTGGCAG